AACTAGGAATCTCGTCGATCTTTCAATCTTCTTGATCCCTTCGTAGTTGATCTTCTTTTTGGTTCCCAATTGCTTCTCTTGTGTGTTCTAGGGCTCTTCTTCTTGCGTATTCACGTTCTCCCCTCTCAAAGTAGGGTAACTATGCTTTTTATAATGTCTAAAACCCTTCTTCTTTTCCAAAAAAGGCAAGCTTTAAAAATCTACCTATGTACGCGACACGACCAGTCTGCCCGTGTCGCTTGCCGTGTCGCAGCCCGTGTCAGGTCCCTGGGCATCGAAATCTCTCTGTTGAGGTGACACGGCCGCTGACACGGGCAAGGTGCCCGTGTCACAAATTTGCACTCTACTTTTTGCTTGTTTCACTCGTTTCTTCCATTTTTTCATCTGTGCATCAACTTTTCATCATCCGGGAGGTCTTAGGAACTCACCACGCGCCTCCAATAGCCAAAAGCTCTGCAAATATGTGGAAATATCTGCAAAACAAGCACGTGTAATACCTTTCCAACAAGATATAAAATTAAAGCACAATAATGCAATTTATACACCAATAATGCAATGAATAAGCTCTAGATACTATATAAATATGGTGTAAAATCACACATGAACATTTAATCTACGGAGCGTGGCTCCGCCGGGCCCCCAAATCTGCAACAACAACCCAGCTCGACGACCTCGATATTGGTCGATAATGATGAAGGACAGGCCAATGACCGCCCAACAATAACAAATTGATCGTTGGGTTGGGAATTTCAAGACCTGAGGGTAGGATCTGGACAGATTTTATGTGGGATATCTTGTCAGATCCTTTCTTATGCCTCCGGCTATTAGACAGTCATCGTTATTTTTAGATCAAAGAGTTCTACACTCTCACGTTCTAGTCGAGGGTGGACAAATCGATCCATATTCTTGTCGAAGGTGAACTAATGAAAAGCGCAATGAGTGATAGCATACCTGATTTTTATAAGGTGCGATGAGGCAAAAAGGTAGTGTTTGATAGTGCTTTGGGAGTTTTGATTTCGACAACATAAGTATAAGATAAAGGAGAAAAAGGGGAAAGGTCGGCTGAGCCGCCCATTCTTCGAAATTTGGGTTGGCTAAGCAGCCCTTCTGCTGAAAAGAGGTATGAAAAATACCATGGAAGAATGTTATGAGTGATGCTTAGGGATGAAAGCGACATTGTATAGGAAGAATCTATTTGTAAGAAGAGGTTCAGAGATAACTTTTGATCTGCCCTCCTTCTAACATCATTTTGTTAACGGTCGACCACCAAAGGTTACATTTTGTAATTATGGGGTGGTTAATTCGGGGGGCTACGTCGCAATTAGTTAAGTTTTGTAAGAATTTTAACATAATGAAAAGAAATTAGTGAAACGAAAGCAAGGAAACAAAAGAACACTGATGTCGTCGATATGTTGTGAAGATCGACGAGGTCTGAGGTCGTTTGCCGATCGGGGAGATCGACAGATCTTGTGGTCGTTGGTCCTTGGCCCACTTTCGTTTGGGCTTGCAGGGTCATTTGGTTTGATCTTGTTTGGTCGGTCCATGGTTTTAAAAATTTAGGTACGACAAAACTAATTCAAAATTACATTACAATCTTTCACTATAATTTGTTCAATTCTATGTAAGTTGTGAACCATACTTTATATTATACAAGTAATCGACAATATAATCTTCTATTCGACACATCAAATCGTATTATCTATTGCGTAAAATAACAGAACACACATTGACTAAACATGATTTTGATCCAAAAACTTTAGAAATACTTCTATAAATAAAGTCGAGCTTTTAGTGTATAAACTAAGACAAAACATAAAGCAAAGTGAAAAAAAAAAAAACTTTATTAATAGAAATCATATACATTTATGTCTCCTCTTGAAAAGTATCTTACAAGTGATAGTGTTGGTATAATGACTGGTGTTAAGCCTCAATGACATAATAAGGCAATACATGCACACACAAAATTTTCTTTTAAATAGAATGGGAACACATATACAACTATATGGATGAAATGGTTTTGCTATTGAGTTATCGGATGGCTCGGCTTATGGAGCTATTTATAGTTATCCACAAATAATGTATTGACACGCATGGGTGGATCCAGAAATTTTTTTAGAAGGAGACTGCATATTTTTTAATAGTCATAGATTGAATTTAACGTGCATTAAAAAAAAGATAGTTTATTAAAATAAATATATAATATAATAATAGTGCAACATAAATTATAAAGTTTCAAACTTTAGCAGTAACAAATTTCGACCGAACGTTCTTTCTTGAACTTTATTAATGATTGACTCACTACTAATAGTTTTGATATTTATTCTTTCTATTAAAAATGTCTTATATTGTCTTCTTTTTATAAATTTATCTTTTTTTGTGTTTTCACATATTTATCATACGTTCAATTTATTTGAATTAGAAAAAATGTTATGCAAAAGTGTAACAAGACTAAAATTGTAGTTAAATTATTAGTAGAAAGAGTAATACAATTATTATTTTAAAGTAATCGCATGAGTTTATGTAAAAAAAATGATATAATTATCATATACGTGTATAGGGATTAATTCCAATGCGGCTGGTTTCTTAAAGTGAGGACGTGAGACTCATTTTTAGAACAAGATTTGGTACATAATGTGTGGCCAAGATTTAATCTTTTCTTTTTATTGTTTTAATTATTTAAATATTATTTTGACCCGTTGACTCCGACATTTATCGTTGACTTCCGACGTTGACTGTTGACTCTTGGCGTTGGCTCCTGCGTTGACCGTTGACAACTAACCTTTCAACTAGGTTAGTTCTCTGTCGTTGCTAGGTTAGTTCTCTGTCGTTGCTAGGTTAGTTCTCTGTAGTTGCTAAGTTAGTTCTCTGTAGTTGCTAAGTTAGTAGTTGCTAGGTTAGTTCTCTGTAGTTGCTAGGTTAGTAGTAGTTAGGTTAGTTCTCATTAGTTGATAGGTTAGTTCTCTGTAGTTGTTAGGTTAGTTGTCTGTAGTTGCTAAGAATTGTCTGCAGTTTAAGAGCTGGTCTCATTTGATCCGCCCCTATGTGTGTGTATATATATATATATATTATAAAAATTACAAATTATGGGGAAACAGTGGCCCCCCTAGCTTGTTCGTAAATCCACCTCTGTTGACACGTGCCCTGCAATAAATACACATTGAACGAGATAGATTCCGAAATTTCTTTATCTCCTCAAAATTATTTGCAAGTCCTTTTCAATTAATCACGCGTTGCCTTAAATATTCCACAAAAGCGGTGTTGGTTGAATGCACATCACACGTTCTCAATACCACTTAAAATAAGAATGAGAAAATCACATCAACAGCTGTGAGGCTTGGAGCAGCTATCTTTTCTTTTTTCTTGTTTTTGTTTCGTTTTTCTTTTTATTTTTATTTCTTTTATTTCTAAAATACCTTTTGTGGCGACCCTGGTCAAACCCAAATCTGATCGTAATTAATATATATATATAAAAAAAAAAGTTCAATATAGCATGTTTTTCCCTTTTATGTACTTTATGAGGATAAATTCAATTTCCACCCACATTTTCTACGTAGAAATAGAAATAGTTATATCATTGAGTTTGGTCAACCTTCCAATGTTTTTAGTCAAACGGTCATATGATCATGTCATTATTAGTTGCTTATTATACGGTCCGATTTTTATTACGATTTTAAAATTAAATTTTACTGATATCAAATTTTTGGTATTTATATGATCACACTCACTCCTAATAACTAAAATTAACATAATATACATCAAATTAATTTTTATATAGCCATCCATAGTCATAATTTAATCAAATTTACA